ACTTCGTTAGTTGTTTATATTATTAGAAATGGTTCTGTCTCTTATACACATCTAGATGTGTATAAGAGACAGATATAGCAATGAGGATCATATGAGTTCTGTAGACTAGTGATTCATCCAAACCACAAATATCTGCAAATCTCTTTTCATCCTTAAATGCTCTTCGCGCGGTGTTTCCATCGTTTGTGTTGCCAGAACCTTGCTTTGGTTCATCAACCTTCAATCAAAGTACAGCCTGAAACCGATCGTGAACTTCTTTCTTTCTTGAAGCAACTATTGCCTTATCTTGCTCTGATGACACACGCCACTTTTTTTACAGGAATACAATACGAAATATGAAGCAGCATTTCAAAGCATCGAATCCACTTATGGAGTGGAGAGAGTCCATACTTGTAATTTTCTACAGCTGCGCTAGGTAAAACATCTATGTCATTAAAAATTTTTGGAGTAGCCCCACAAGTATAGCACCGCATAGACGATTTGGTCTCTGTCAATGCATTAATAACCTTTTGGTCAACCATTGTCAATTGCAAATCAAATGTCACCAGCATATTGTCTTTTCTTGGATTGGCTGCATCCATATCGTAGTCTATATCCAATGTTACATTCATAGGCTGCAATTGCTGAATTTCATCATTAATTCTATCGTATTCTTCATGACTTAATTCAGTAGTTTCCTTTTTGAATTGTAGGTGAATTGGACGGCAAAATCGTGTTGACGAAGGCACTGGGTTTTTCCATAAGACGCGTTCTCCAAACTTCAGTTGCAGAGGAACAAGTGTGGTACAAAACATGCTCTCATCAGAATGATATGTGCTGTTAAATTTCTGTTTGTATTGACTCTGACCAGATGACCCGTCAAAACCAATTGGTTAATTTTGTGTCAGCATTTCATGTACTTTTCTCTTTCGCGATCTCTCTGAAAGATCCTCCCATGCTTTGATAGGACGTCCGGGTTTTGGTTGTTTTGAAGACTCATGTGGGTGTTCTGCTGATGTGAAAAGAATATCCTGTTCTCTGTTCTGTTGCAAAAAATTATTAGTTTCATCCGAAAGTGCAATGCTGTTGTCAAGCCATGATTTGTTCTTTTTGAGAAATAGCGCTAATATTCGCTTACTTGACGTCCATCTTTCCTTAAGTTGATACAGGAAGATTTTTACAGTCTTGGATGTATTTGAATAAAGTTCATCTGGAAAATCTGATTTATCGGCAGCATATATTTCTAACAGAAAGTCCATACATTGCTTACATGCACGGTCTATTTTCGTAGTTGAATCAGAAGTATGCACGATTGCAAACAATTGACGCATAGATATACGTCTAGATGTCATCTTGATCATAAGAACTAGATGTCATCTTGATCATAAGAATTGGTTTATAAGACAGCTCAACATTTGATTAAGTTATTCTACACAGTAACAAAATATTGGAAGAATTGCTGTTGCTAACTCAGCGTGTCAGTGTTTGGAGAGCGCTTTTTCCACGCTTTGAATGAGCATGTTGAATGTACACGCGTACATTCCTGTTGATTGCAGTTTCGTCTGACGTTTATGGAAACTAGACTGATAAAAGTGCGTCTACCTTGCAAAGTTGCAAAAAGTAGCAGCTAAATTTGGTACCATCATAAAGCCAATACTTTACTGAAGATGGTGGTATCAAAGCATGAATCCACATGAATCTAAACTTCCTCCTCCACTTTTCTAAAAACACTTTTTAAAATATTTTTTCAGTAGTTTAAACAACGATGTATTATTTATGCAAACTTGAAATTTAAACCAAAACATATATTTGTGCTCTCACATTACTATAGAAGAAACGTGCACACTTTGAAGTAATTACAAATTTTCCTATAAGACAAAAATCGTGTTTTAGTATAATGTAGTCAATTATAGTATTTGAAATATTTATAAGCAATTCTCCGAAGTTTGTTGAAAAATACCACACTTAAAATTCGTTAAAATGTAAAATATTTTCAGG